CATGCCATGGGATACAACTCACAATTCAGACCATAGTCCATTGATGACACTTGACAACACACTTGGAACAACTGAACCACATAAAATGTATACAAAACAAATGTATAAATTGAATGTCCTCATCCATTTTAACCTTTGTGATATGTACATGTAAAAATCCTATATCTGTCCATAGTTTATAGGCTGATTTTTCAGTTCTCTGCAGTCACTACTTATTGGTTCCTAAGGATCTCCTTATTCTAGAATGATAAAAAATTATATAATTCATAGTACATGTAGTTTAATCCATTGATCCATTAGGGAGGAAAGACCCCATGTTACCATGTGGTCCATTTTTTATTGACTTTTGGTATCATCAACTCATTCTAGTATGGCTGTAGCGAAGGCCCATATTGGATTCTATACTTGGGTGGCCACTGTATGTAGGATTATCTCAGTATTGTGGATTCTCAATCATATGCGGGTTGATCATAAAGTTGTCATAATATCTCTCCAATTTCTTTATTTTTCAATATATTTTAATGAAATTTTCACAGAATGTGCAGCATAGAATGTCTTATTAATTCATTAAAAACATTTAGTTTAACAGAAATATTAGATAAGAAATGGTTGCCATAGTAACTGGAAATCAAGGCAACAACCGGGGCGAATAAAAGTAATTGAGAGAATGGGTCTTATTAACCATGTTAACACACATAATAAACTCTCATAAATTACCAAACACGTTAAAATGTTAACTTGAATTTGTTGTTCAGTGCTTTTACTATTAAGAAAATGATCATGTGGATTGAGTAATGTCATAGGGGATGCTTTCATGCTTCATTAGATGTGATACCAGAGTCTGAGACTCATAGCTAATGATCAGAAATGACTGAGTAAGAAAAAAATAAAATTCATGCTGATAAAATGTTATGTTAAGTTTGTAAGATCCTTTGCTCAGACTAAACATGATCTAAAACAAATATATTTCTAAGATATCAACAAAATTACACCCTGTGTGTGATCTGAACATGTTAAAAATGAACTAAAGGGGCAAAATCAATTTTCCTCGGGGTAATTGACAAAACAGTCATAGGATCTAACAGTCACTTCTAATGAAGCATAACAATCATCCATTTTGAGATCACACAATTCACATCACATGATCATTATAATAGTTCAAAACAGTCAAGGATACATATTATTTGACAATTTAATGTGTTTGATAGCTTATTTGACAACTTATTATGTATTTAAACATGGTTAAAAGGAGCTATTCTTGCTACTTTTAAAGGTTTGAAAATATAGAAAACGGAAAGACATTCCAGATTTCAAGATTTGTGTATTTGCAATCAGAGTTCCTTGGTCAATGGGGGGAGCAACAAGCTATTTCTAGAATGTATTTTAGATCTATGTCATATTGAAAGAATGTTTCAAGGTAGTGGGACAAATTTTAAACCTGTTGCGTATTGTGCCACTATATCAGAGGCCTGATTCTCGAAAACATTGTAGACAATAATATTATTTAAAGTGTTTCTTATGATGTTACTGATAATACAATCATAATTCATTCAATCTTTGATACACAGGTCATATATTTTTCATTGTACATGGCCTGCCTTAATTCTAGACTAGCAGAAAAATGTCACATTCTAGAAATGTTCCCCAGCAGTTCATCCACATTCAACAAACTTTCAAATGTTTGACACAATGCAAAAATGTGTACACTCCCTTCAAAAGTTTGGCAACTCTTTTCCTTGAATATCATGTTAAAAACTGTTTATGTTTGAATTAAAAAACTCAATTATAGTAGGTTGGAAATTTCTGGTTTTGATAATTTCTTTTAAAATTGCTTTAACATGTTGTCTAATAGGGAATTTAGAGTTGCCAGACTTTTGGAGGGAAGTGTAGATTTAAGAGAGGCATAATCTCTAGGCAATAAAAACATAAGTTTCTTAATTTCTATATTTTTTTACTAATACAGTGTATTTGTGACACATTCTGATATATACCAAACTACACCACTTCTACATATATTTTATCATTATAGATACTATAAAATATGTATTATTATTATGAAACACATTGTAAATACATGCATCACTATGAGATATAAAAGTGTAGAATATACTGTGATTTTATATACATATTTACACTGTACAAAACACAATTAATTACAATGTTGAATCTCAATAAAAATGGAGGATAACAAACATGCTTTTCTTTTTTAAGTTGATTCAGAATTCACTGTATTTCAGTAAGGCCCTTACAATTAATTGTCTGTTTAATGGTGCCTACCACATGGATAGTGTCCACACTCCTATCATACCAGGAATTACTGAAGCACACAGTTAAATTTGTGAATGGATATTACCCATGTGATCAGTGTATAAAAAAATGATAAGACCAATCTGTAGTCTTTGTAGTATGTATAATTTGCTTTCATTTTTGACAAGTTTTGTCTTTTGACATTTTATAGTAAAATAGGAAATAGAAAGCCTGGTTAGCTAATTAGTCTTTCAAAATAAAATCCAGTTAAACAGATAATTAATGTGTAGAGGCCTTAAATATGCTTATAAAGCACACATAGCTGATACCTCAAATCAAGAGCAACATTTGAAGTTGAAATAGCAAGCAATTCATGCCTGAGTCAGGAAAGTACATCAAAGGGGCTAACCATCAGATTATGGGAATGACCTAACCTTTAAAAATATAAATATTATGACCCTGAAGAAAGAACGAAAACGAAGAAAAGAAATTCTGAATCGGGTAGTTCTACAAAGAACCTGCGTAAGTGGAACGCCCTTGGGACCACAAAAAAGTGTTCCAATTGTGAGATGTTCCATTTGCAGAGGTTCATTAACATGGAGCCAATGGGCAGCAGGAGTTGTTTCACAGAGGTCTTTTACTTAGCCAGTTTCTACTGTACATGGTTGGTTGAGATTTGATAGGAAGGAAATTCTGGATAATAGGCTAGGTCCCAGCAATACTAATGGATGCCCCTATGATGAAGAAGGCACTTTTACAATGGGAATGTAGTGCTTGAATACAGTTTAATTGTGCAAAATACATACAATTGTTCTAATATCTGAGTAGGGAGCTGTTGAAAATGCATAATTTCAAAAACACCTGTACAGATATTTCAAAATAGTTTCAAACATTTCCTTAAGTATCATATAGCATATAAAGGGTGGGTCAAAGAAGTTTTACACAAAAGCCTACCTTCATAATACTAACAGTATGTTGCATGAATGACATACCATTGGAAAGATCATTTTATTTCAATGAAGAAATGATATATCACTTTATCAAAATGATTAATATCATTTTGTGGACCAAGGGGCACATTGTTTAACAACCAAATGATTATGTCATGAATGGCAAGTTCAAAAACCAAGAAACCAACCATGTGGCACTAATTTAGTGTAAGTGCCTTAATCACATGGTATGTACATGTATCATCTTCTTGGGAGATGACTATCTATCCAGTGGTATATCATTCATGCATAGTTCTGCTAGTATTTTCTGAAAATAACCTAAATGTAAAACTGAATTTTTTGTTTTGACTCACCCTGAATATATTTTGCAGTGGAAACTCTCTTTTGGTGATTCAAGGTGTGTACATTTAATTTCAAGCAATCTCCTAATTCCAATGCATAAGAGAGCTTTGTGAAGTTCAAAATTACCCTGAAAGGCCTTAATCTAAAATGCTTTCTTTTAAAACATTATATATTCTAATGGTAACCTTACTATTAAGATCATTTGCATTCTTGTCATTCTGATATCTTTAACTTTTATATCTCTCCCACTGAACTTTCCAACAGAGGTTCTTGCAGATCCGAGGAACAAGAAATAATATATTGGAGATTGTGATAGTATAAAATACATATTATTTCATTATTCATACAGTTGTATCAGGGAAGATATTGTGAATTACACCACAGTCTGACATTCAACATCTTAATATTGCTTCACTCCTGAGAGGCCTTTAACAATGAGTGCTGAATACAATTGCATTTCAAAATCCACTTATATTGATATGCATGTGTTATATATGTAGTTGAGAAAATTGTCTTAATGGAAACTTTCTGAATTGTAATTCAAACTATTTTGAATAAAACCTCCCAGGCCCGTAGCCAGGGGGGGTTCGCAGGGTTCGGGCGAACCCCCCCCCTGGCCAAAAATTCTTTCAAAATCATGCAGTTTTTCACCATTTTGAGCACTTTTCAAGTGATTTTAGCCATATTTGGGCCAAAATTGTCAAATGTGAACCCCCCCGGAAATTTTTGAAAACTGAACCCCCCCTTGGCAAATCCTGGCTACGGGCCTGCCTCCTGTATGTAAATGTCATCATGCAGATCTTATTTCTTAGTGGTAGGGTAGCCAGGGGTCTCAAAAGTGCTTGTAATGGTTTCTACGACCCACAAGCTACTTTTCTCGATTTTTGCAAAAATTGACAATGTAGCCCAAGTGAAAGAGTTTGGGTCATATGTCTTCAGTATATCCATCTACACATACTGTGTATTGTTCAAGGCTTCTAAAGAAAGAGAAGTTCCATGACTATGTTTAATAATTACTTTGCTAACTTAATTAATTTAGTTAGGAGGGGATCACTGAAGTGAATGGCTTTTAGTTAGTTCATCTGATAAAAAAATGCATAATGTGATGCTAATATAACATAAGGCAACAAACAATGGGGTTGCACCTGGTGAAACAAATGCAGCCTGAACTAAATTACCTAAGTTAGCAAAATGACACTGAACTGGTCCCTTCTATCATTTGGTATCAAAGTATATTTCATAGTCAAATGTCACATTTTTTATAGACAAATGTCACATTTTTATAGTCAAATGTCACATTTTTTGTGCAGCACAACACGTTGAAGTTATTTACATCTAATGCTATTCACAATGAGGTCAAGATGTGCGAGAAGTTGAAGACACAATAGATGGCAGTACGGAGCTATAGTTGTGATGTCACACAGGAATCATGACGTGAGATTGGTGAAGTGTGATGTCATGCTATTGTCGTTTGTACAATAAATCAAATGTACCAGATTTAGGCGACACTATAAAAAGACAACATTATTCTAGAGTTTAACATCGAAGACACTTTGGGGCAAATAGGAAGTAAACAACTGGTGAAAACACTTAAGGCCAAGGCAATAAAGACATATTTTAACAAATATTTGGCCAAAAACAAAAAAAGAAGACAAGGAAATATGACTTAATCTTTTGTATCACAAAAATAGATTCAATTTATTATATTCTAGATTGATTACATTGTAGGTGTATATAATAATTTTACAATTCGTAGTAAGAACAAAACATACTAGTTTCTTATAAAAGAGTTATGTACATTTACTAAAACATGTAAACTGTAATTAATGTAAGAAAGACATTTTGGTAATACTTTTATATGTACATTAATTTACAGTATATATAATTAATGCTGATTTTTATTATATTGCTCACTGATATTCTATCACATATACTGAAATATTCATTTTTTGTTTCAGTGTGAAAGATTCTGAATTATCTTTGAAATTATTATCAATATTTCAGAAATAATAAAAAATTACAGTTTAAAATAGGTTAAAGCACAATAAACAAAGCTTCACAACTGTCTGTTAAAAAATATGTAAAATTTGATTTCATGATTTTTTTGTAAATTGTGCTCAACTTTAATGTATACTAAGAGCAATGTGCATGCAACAGGCATTTGCATTATATGTGAAAACCCCACATTCCATACATCAAGGGACAAGATCAATATGTCAATGTATGTTCACAGCAACAAATATATATTTGGGGGAGGGGGTGATATGTTGTTCGGAAACATTAGTCTTGTTTATACTATACAAAGCATTCCAAGATATATTTGGTAAGAACTCATGCAAAAATTTAGGTGAGTTTACATTTCTCTTTTCAAGACGTCTTAAAAATATATTTGAGTTTACTTGTTTTTCCAAGATTTCTTGAAGGAGGTAGATCTCAATGAAAAATGAAAGAACCATCAGTTTAGCACTGGCTGAAGGGCTGTGAAGTCACAGTTCAAAGCAATGGCGATCCTGTTTCCCCTTTTTAAGAAAAATAAATTTCTCAAAAAAAATTCAGATCGAGAAAATATATATTAAAATATAAGAACAGAAAACGTATGGCAAGGACATGACAGAAAGATCAGCAAAAAATGAAAATCATTCTTCTCGTTGAATGCGGTATTTCGTTCTTTGCAATACATTTGAAACCTGGGTAAGAGCTCTTACCTCAAAACTATTAATACTTTAAACAGAAACAAGTTTTAAGTTTTAGAAAGAGATATCACTGAATGTAAGGTTAGATTTATTGGGAGGAGGGGTCAATTTGAAATAGAATATATTATGACAACATCCAAATATTGATCTGGTCCCTTTTCAATTTTTGAATACTTAAAGATAGAATTATTAAAATATCATAAAATATATATATTCAAAATAAAAATCTGGAAGCCCAATACATGCATATCTATTAATATATGGATTCCCCTAATATCACTGGTTCAATGTGCGCAGGATAGTACTTGACCATTTGTAGAAAATGGGATAAAAGTTCTGTAAAGTTCAAGGCACTATGCAAAAATAAATCATAAAGGCTGTCATGGTTTAAATGTAATGTTTTAAAATTGAGGACGATATTTTAAAATTGAGGTATATTAAACACAATATGCTTAGCCTCAGATGATATATTATAGCAGACCCACTTTTGATTGCCCCACTTTAAGCATACAAAGTTACATAAAATAAAAAATCCAAATGTTTTTGGGTTTGAAGAGAAAAAAAAATCCTAAAACCCTATATGACATATATCTTGAAATTTTTATATTTTTGTTACATAAACTTAGGGTGAAAATGAACAAATCTGTATATGAAAAAAACAATGTATCGATAAAATGTAAATTGTAGAGACAAGTAAAATTGAGTTTGTAAAATCTAAATTCTAAAAGGGTATGCACCTCTAACACATATTAATACATAAATGCAGGTGTATTAAACACCCATGTTTAACTTTAAGCTAAAGCAGTTGGGAAACCAAGCAGAAAAGCTGGGTCAAATATCAATGTGTTTTCTGTGAAAGTAATTTTGTGAAAGGTTAAAACCTTTCCCTGCACCTCAATTAAAGCTTATGGACATTGCAAGGACATTTTTCGATGAATTGCAAATCTAATCTTTAATGATTTTAGCTTTCTCCTCATTTTTGCAAAAAGACACATTAATACTTGGCCCAGCACCATAACATTCTCTTAAGATTTAAACCTATTCCACTTACATTTTGTTTTAGTTTTTGATTTAATATTAAAGCTCATCTTCAAGTTTCATCCACACCAATAAGTTATGTTACTACTCATTTGATTGGAAGTTATATAAAGTACATGTACTGTAAAACATTTTCATTCATGCATCTAATTTTCCTAAATTCTCAATTTCTTTGGATTCTGTTTTGTGATGAAAATTTGGAATTTCAATATTGCCAGGGTTTAGCATAAGCACTGGCCCATGTGACAATTTAAAGGGAACAAGGCACAGGGTGAACAATATCATACCTAAAACATAGCAGTGTGGGCTTGATGACCCAGAAAGCAAGATGGCTGCCGAAAAGTTAATCAGTTATAAAACATCTTACCATGTAACACGAGTGACAATTTGAAGTAAATCTGTTAAGTGGTTTTCCTGGAATCGCTGACAAAATTTGAAGCAAATTCGTCAAGTCGTTTTCCTGGAATCGCGATGACAAGATTTATCTAAAAACTTACAAGATGGCCGCCAGAACGCAAGATGGCTGCCGAAAAGTAAATCAGCTCTAGAACTTCTTACTATGTAACATGTGTGAAAATTTGAATTAATCCGTTTAGTCGTTTTCCTGAAATTGTGATGATAAAATTTAAAAACTTCCAAGATGGCCTCCAGAATGCAAGATGGCCACCCAAAGGTTAATCAGCTCTAGAATTTCCTACCATGCAACATGTGTGAAAATTTGAACTAAATCTGTCATGTGGTTTTCCTGGAATCGTGATGACTAGAAAGTGAGACGCCGCCCACCCACCAGGCTGACGACAATATCGTACCCTTTTTTAGGTACGATAAAACCAGAGTAAGACAAGGTGAATGAAATTCAGGTTACAGTAAGCCTGAAACCTTTATGAAGGACACTGTCCTTTGACAATTATATAGAAACAAAAATGTTTTACAGTACAAGGTGAATGGTACTCCATGCAGGTAACCATAAGCAGTTATCACAATATAAATATACATTATGTGTTTTACAATAGATTGGGTTAGGTATACCAATACCAAATATACCAATATTCAATGTGACCCGATGAGGTGAGAAAAGCAGTAACCCACCTCTTAACATTATGACTACATCAAATGTTCAAGAGGAGTTTGTCATGCATATGACTACATCTTATTGTACCATTTAACAGTAATCATGTATTATTGTAGCCACAAAACCATGCGTGATAATACAAAATTAATGGGCCATGCATGAAACAGAATTGTGCATGACAGAATTATTTCATTCAGGAATATGGACTACAAAACTAGTTTTGAAAAATTTATGAATAAATACTTGATAGCTCAGAGTGAATGTTTCTCAACTCAGATTCATCAGTTATGGTTTTAAAAGTGGTGTACGGAGCCAAGAGGTATTTATTCATCTATACAATACCAGTTTTGAAGTCTATATCACAGATTAAAACATGACAGCTTAATTGTTGAGAGCATCAAACATGCATGTCCATACAATCTTATCTAAAACAAATAGCCAACCATGCTCCACTACACAAAGCTGACTTTCGTCTCCAAGCTTGTCAACACCTCTTCCACTGAGCTAGCACTAGGCGTGAGGGTTTTGGATGCAGAAACATCATTATTGTTTTTATTACGCACACTAAGAAAGTCAAGGATATGCTCTGTTGGAGACAAACCTTTTTGGCCCAAGTGTTCCCAAGTTCTTAAATGATTTTGGTCCCTGTATTGGTCCCAGCGAGCATCGTCAGATTCATGAGTTAAGTAGCGTCGGCCTACTTCATTTTCTAACTTCCTTAGATCACACCAAGTTTGGTAGTCCTTGAAGAAATGAAACAAACAAGTGAATTGAGACTAGGAACTTTTATTTTACTGACAATTTGAATAAAAGTTTCTCGTAATTAATGCAACTTAAATTACCAACAGACTTTTGGTTAATTCAGAATCAGATGGCAATTACAAAAATGGTAGTCATAACATGTCACCGTTTCTTTACATGAATAATCCTTACCTGAAGCCAAACGTGTGATAGAGATTTCTCAACAGAAATACGTTTCCGCATTTTCACCTGCAGCAAGTTATTGATAATGTCCTTTGCTGAAACACAGATATTGGGGAATAAATACATGGTATTGGGTGGATACCTTTAAAAGACTTATCATTTCATAGCAATAATGTCAAACTACATGTACATTACATATATTCACCAATGAAAAGCCATGAAACATTACCATGATGACATTTCAGCATATCTTACCCTCTGGTGATATTTCTCTCCATGGGTTTGGAGGATACATGAATGCAGCATTCTGGATCTGATCTGCTATTTCCTCATCTTCGTTAAAAGGGAATGTACCACTAAGGCTAAAATAGAGATTTTCAACATTTTGTATAATCTTTGTTAACAATGGTTTTATGTGACATTTACTCATTTCAGAAAATGGGGGTTGCTATTTTATGTTAGATATGTTTTAAGATTAACATTGCTTATAATTATATCATATAAGGATGAGTAAGCAGGGATTCCATTAGAATTTCTGACTTAAAGCATGAAAACACTGGCAAAATTCATTGTAATATTTCTGATGAAAACTCCTGAGTAATTTACCTGACATGAACTGACATACACACTTATTTACCTGACATATATTATGACTCCAACAGACCACATGTCAAGGGATCTGTTGTAACCCTTACTCTTCAGCACCTCAGGGGCTGCAAATACATAAAAAAGTAAAAGAAAGTATCTTAGATGCAGACTGCCACATTTCTAACGTTGTGATCATTGTTATTGTTATTGTCACTGTTAGACTGATACATTCATCAGCTGTATTGACTGCTTCTTTCATGCAATTATAAACTGAGGTTCAGTTTGTTGATAACATTTTATTATTTTGACATTATTTATTAATTCATCATGCTTTGGATTGATAAAATATCTGATACACTAACCAAGATATGCAGGGGTTCCAACGACAGATCTTCTGAAGGATTTCTCTCCAATGATACGTGCAAATCCAAAGTCACATAGTTTCACCTATAAACATTCATAATGGTACATATGTACAGTATATAAAACAATAAAGCAAACATGGACAATGATTCATTCAAGATTTATTGTGTATAATGTATAATATCAATTCATCTCAACAACCCATCTCTGAATAATAAAGCTACATCTTATTCATCAAGTATCATCTATGAATCTACATCTAAGTCTTATATTCCATGTAGTTCCTTACCTGTGGGAAAGGTGTCTCTGAGGAGAGTAGGACATTTTCTGGTTTCAGATCACAATGTACAATATGTTTAGAATGGAGGTGCTTCAATGCAACCAAGATCTGAAAAAACACAATGTAAATAATCAATAAATGTACGATATGTTTAGAATGGAGGTGCTTCAATGCAACCAAGATCTGAAAATACATAATGCAAATAATCAATAAATGTACGATATGTTTAGAATGGAGGTGCTTCAATGCAACCAAGATCTGAAAAAACACAATGCAAATAATCAATAAATGTACGATATGTTTAGAATGGAGGTGCTTCAATGCAACCAAGATCTGAAAAAACACAATGCAAATAATCAATAAATGTACGATATGTTTAGAATGGAAGTGCTTCAATGCAACCAAGATCTGAAAAAACACAATGCAAATAATCAATAAATGTACGATATGTTTAGAATGGGGGTGCTTCAATGCAACCAAGATCTGAAAATACATAATGCAAATAATCAATAAATGTACGATATGTTTAGAATGGGGGTGCTTCAATGCAACCAAGATCTGAAAAGACATAATGCAAATAATCAATAAATGTACGATATGTTTAGAATGGGGGTGCTTTAATGCAACCAAGATCTGAAAATACATAATGCAAATAATCAATAAATGTATGATATGTTTAGAATGGGGGTGCTTTAATGCAACCAAGATCTGAAAAAACACAATGCAAATAATCAATTAATGTATGATATGTTTAGAATGGAGGTGATTCAATGCAACCAAGACCTGAAAAAACACAATGCAAATAATCAATAACATAGATATTGCATACTCAAAGTCAATGTACAAGGCTGGAGTAGTTTTAAGACAAGCCAAGTTAGAGATCTTTCATCAAATTGATTATTAGTTAATGAAAACACAGAATGAAATCCTTCCTAAGCTATTGCTTTACAACTGAGCTATAGGACCGACTGGCTCTTCCACATCAAAATTGCATTTATAGCATTGCAGCATTACAAGTCCATTTTCCTGGACCACATATAAGTTACCTGTCTTTCCAGGTTGTCAATCATTCTATTCATGATGTCAAGTGGACATTCCAATGGGCCATTCTCCCTAAGGAGAAATAGTATTAGTTATTGAAAACACAGAATGAAATCCTGTACTAAGGGCTAAAAAGGGTTAGTCTACCATAAACACTTATTTTGTGCAATGAAATTGTTCCCAGTGCCGAATAAAAGTCAACAACAAAAAATATCACAACCTACCAATTGTTACAGACACCGAACACAAACCACTGAACACCGTCCACAAAAAAAATTTGTGGAGGTGACATGAAAATGGACTGGCTTTAAAAACTCAAAAATGTATTCCTTCAATTTGTCCTTGAGCGCTATTGCATTTAAAATGGATTGAACTATTTGAGTAGCGAAAATGGGGAATCCCCCAGGTGGGATTTTCTCAATTTGTATCAACAGAGCCATATATCCAGGCAACATAAGTGGAGTGTTTCCAGGCTACATAATATTTTGAAATACATGTACACTGTACTTATATTGCTAATTTGAAAAAAACATATAAATTAGAAGACAACTACTTACTGGGCTATTTAATGGGCTGTCAATATAACCAGTCAATTGATTATTTATGTATGGCAAATGTATGTCTATAATAATGTCAAACTATACTGCTTACTTGCCAAATTATATACTTTCTTTAGATCATATTACAGCCTCAATATTTGGATTTTATCAAAAAATGAATGAACAACAAAGACAAAATTGAAAGGAACTTAATATACCGGTGAGGCATTTTCTTAGTGACTTAGTATGAAAATAAAATGCTGATTCAACTTCTGATATAGTGCAAACAATTAACACTTCATCGTAGAAGCACAATCGAAAAATATATTTACTTTGGGTTAGTATACATTGTTAACTTATAGGTTTTCCACATTTGCTATTTGTATGAGTAAATCGTTTAACAATAGAATTCAAGTAACCCTGGTCTTGAAAGCAATTCAATATAAGCTGAAGAGATTAGCAAAGCTCTGGCTACCGGGCACTCAGAAATTCCATAGAAGTCAAGAAGCAAGATCAAGATTTCAAAATGGACGCAGAATTTGAGAATGGATAAAACCAACCCAGACACGATTCCAGCATTAATGCATCATAAATTCATAATTGGACTACATTCAGTCAGATATCATGTCGGATTGTCTCTACCCTTAAAGTAAAATCAAGATGGAAAAGTTCCACCAAAAGATCATCACGTCCCTGACAAGGGCACTTCAGGATGATATTGTTCCACTTGCTAGGTTCTATGGGAATCTACTAGCAAAGGAAATATTCACAGATGAGATGATTGATCAAATTAAGGTAGGAACACTTAAAGTAGAATATACCAAAAGAAATGCACAGAATTAAAAACAATAAAAAGGAAATTATTATGCATTCATTAAAATGAAACATAATAATTTCAAAGAAAATATTTATTCTGTACTACAACTTTTTTTACACTTCATGAATCTAACAATTTTTAATTTAAAGCAAATAAAAAATACTGAACATGATTTTAAAATATGCAAATAAGGAATTGGGCATTAAAATTTTACCGCAAAAGTGTAAAGCACCATTAAAAGTGAAGCTATGTATAAATACAAGCTGACTCCTAATAAGGAAATAAGAGACTAATCCATTTATTTCCTTTCAAGGTTAAGCTTAATAAGAGATGAAGGTCAATAGATGTTCAACAAGATTTTGGCATCAATTCACAACATTAAACCAGATCACCTTTAATCTCTCATACCAACAATAGCAGGGCTGAGGTCTTAAGAAGATTTATATTTGCTAAAAGATATCATGAAGTCATAAATTTCCGATTTCGTTTTCACAATCACCAAATCACATTACTGGAGTGTGCCATGTGACCACATGTATAGAAGCAAGGATGCATAATTCCTGCTCATTTAGTATTTACCAAAATGTCAAAATCCCCAACCTAAACCCAGCACCATCATTAGTAAAGAACCGAAGAAACTTATTATTTTGAAATATCCCAGAATACTCTCACAATATTATGTTTTTCTTCATTTGTACTAAATTCTAATTTGAAAAACTGACCAAGAATTGTTTATAACTATAAAGAAATCATGTCTTCAAGACATTCCAAATTCACATTAGAGAGTCAATGGATTTAAATTTTGGCTGAGACAATGTTAAAATTCTCAATGGGTCGTCTGTCTCTTTTGATGATGTGAAGATCAATGTCCTTTAACCAGTTCACTCTTAAATATGACCACATACACCACCATGGATAGCATTTTATGTACATTATGTACATTATGTGCATTTTATGTATATTCAGACTGAGAAGACCACCAGTGAACAAAACCTTAAGATGTTGACTTTACTAAAAACCAGAGCAGGAGTATTTTACAAATTCTGTGAGGTGCTTGAAGAAACATCACATGAAGACCTTGCCAAACTTCTCAGGGATGCAGAGTTTCAGAGACGAGAAGGTGTGGCACACAGCTAAGGATTATATTTCAAGAATTATTAATAAACTTAATTAACTCAGAATAAGATTTGGTAAAATAGTTTCCTTGCTTTTCAGTTTTCGATGTGTCAAATAGTTCTCTCATTCAATGATGTGATTAATTCAAGGCTTTTTCTCATTCTTCATCCTTTGTGTATCAGATAACAAATAATTCAATCAAAGAGACAAATCAAAAGCACAAAGCTTCTAGGAAATCCTTATCTTCTTTATTTAAATACATATAAATATGTTTTATATACCATTACTAATGATATTTGGACATATTTCAGTGATGACAACTCCAAACCTACAAATGCAGGAGTTCTTCTCAAAACACCTTGCCATGAACAGACGCCTCTGTGAGGAAGACAAACGCCTCATCATCACAAACCTAGCCACAAAAGATGAACTCACCCAAGAGAAACGTGCCCTCGTTGCCAAAGTTGACGAGAATGCACGGTTGAACTACCAAGTAAACACCCTTCACAAAAAGGTGACAAGTCTTAATGAGAAACTAGACACAAGTTTGAAAGTCAACAATGATAACAAAGTTGAAGTGGATATACTAAAACTAGAAATCAAACAACTACAGGATGATATAGAAACACGAGATGCTGAAATTAAACAACTTGGTAAAGAGAAAATGGACTTGGAGGACAGACTTAATGAGAATACAAATGGGAGCCCAAGAATTGTGAAATCCCTTGAGCAGGAACTGAAGGATCAAGCTACAATTGTTGAAACCAAAAATGAACAAATTGCCAAACTGAAAGGACAGTTGGATATCAAACAAATAGCTTTGAAGGAAATCCACATTCAGTTTGAGCTTCATAAGCATGAACAAGAGGAGAAAATAAAAGAGATTAATGAGAAACTACAAGCTGTTACCAATTATAAACCAAGTGATAATCTACCAGTTGATAGCAAACACATGTTTATACTTCATATGAACATGGAGTTTGTTGCCAGAAAAATAGAATCTCTACAAAAAGATCTCTTGGAGGCCAATAATGCGATAATCAAACTTCAAACTGAACAAGAAATGGCTGCTGATATGCTTGGATTTGATAAAATCGAGAATAACCTGGTAGATACTGTAGAAAGATTCATGAATATATATAAAACCGAAACAGATGATCAGAAAATAAAAATTGATAACTTGAAGAGAAAGCTAAAGGAAGCAAAAAAGGAAAAGTTAAATTTACAAAGCAAATTGGATGAGCTAAAAGTAGATGGGGAACTTATGAAAAACAGTGTCAAATTAATGAAAAGGAAATATCTGGATTCTAAACTAGGGACCAATAAAAGTAGAGGAAGTAGTGCCAGTGATAGTCGCTCCAGTGGCGGGGATATCACTCCACTGCCAGATGTGTCTAAGGAATTAAGTCGCATTACACACAGAGCTAAAAATCATGTACTTTTGAGAAAAAGCACAAGTACCCCAACTTTCCAAGACCCAACATTTGGTAGCACATTTCCAAAAATACTTAACTTATCTGTATCTCAAAATAGCTCAATTAGGACACCAAAAAATTCTGCCAATTCTCTCAATGAAAAGGAAAAATCTCGTCCAAGGTCACGCCATCTATCTATTGATAGATTAACTTCTCTGGAAGAAGACTCTAGTGCGAAAAAGATCTGTGTGATATGCCATAATAAATACATAGTGTTTCACAACACAGAGTCTGCCTGTAGATATCACAAAGGACAGTATGGCAATTCTGAACTTGCTATAGGTAAGAGGTGGTCTTGCTGCTTTAAAGCTGATGAGAAGTCAGTAGGATGTTGTAAAGGCTTGCACAGAAGTCATAATGAATAATAATCAAAATAGACCGAAATCTCAAATATTTATGATATCATCACAGAGTTATCTGAGGAGGCAGGGTGTTTAAGATTGCCAAAAAGAGGACACCACCTCTTCATTATTAAAACCCCGCAGATTTGCTTTGACTTTTGAAAGGATTTTCTTCTACAGCAAACCTCCTAACAATTCATCTCCTATTGCCATGGTTTTTATAAATAGCCAAATGTATAATAAGTTTTTATAACAAATTAATTAAATGCCAATAACTTAGTAGAACAACTATGCAAATAAATGTATGTGATAACAGATATAAATCTGAAACATTTGATCTCATTATTTTTATTATTTTATAGATACACATTGTATTATATTGGATTTTATTGCTTGTATTTAAATACACATTTATGAAAATAAATGAAAAATAGAAATAGAAAAATAGAAGTGTTGTCTTTGTAATGAACACATGTAAATTCTGTACTGACGCTGAAGTTTCTGATCCAACACTGCTGTTTTGACGCCTTCCCCAAATCCATCAATTGATCTAACATCATTCTTTTTAATATTAAATATCTATATCTGTACAAAACAAAATAGAATTACAATTGTGTGACAACAGGATGGGATAATAGTATTGATTGGAAAGCTTCTTACCTGGGATATGAGAAACTTTGTAACTCGTTCAGTGAGTTTGCCTTTTTGACTAGATAGGATCATCTCCAACATGTCGCCTTTTAACTTCTCCATGACAACAAATATCTACAAAATATAAACATAAAACAAGGGTCCATGGTTGTGAATACAAGTGCTGCAATTTATTATACTGGCATTCAGGCCATTGCCCAATGAGCAAATAATTTCCCCAGGTTCATTGCTAAGAGTTACAAGTGATTCACACTGGCAGTCAGGCAGCGCTGAGTTTGAAGCCCTGTATAATATCATATACTTATATTTGAGATACATATTTCTATCATATTATTGATTTGATTTGAAAAATATATATTTCTGGGTAGCTCTATCAGTACAGGACTGGTCTTCTTAGAGACTGCTATTCAAAAAAAACTAAATGTTATTGCATTCTGGAGGATGAGTAGTTTGTATTGTCTCATATTTCAAAACTAATACAGAACTAAAGATCTTACCCGCTCTGGAGTCTCATACATCTTCTCAAGATTTACAACCCCTGGGTGGTGCAAATTCTGGAACAATAAGACAATATTCAAATAAGGAGCAAGGTCAATATACCAAAATGTACCAATGTAAATTCATAAGACATTCATCTCTATAAGCACTATATGGGTTCATATGGGTATGCTTACTTGTAAGATTGATACTTCATTCTTTAACTGAGCTTCCTGTTTAGTTGGGAATCGTAGCTTGTCAATAACCTTAATGGCAACTTCCCTCTTAGTTCTTCTGTGTTTACCTAAAATCAGAATTATCACTTTTATTAAGGTAGTCAGCTGGTCAACACTGAATATGGTCATTGCTAAATTGAAAATGTGCTGAAATGAAAACATATTCAGCTTTTTTTTTTTTTTTTATATATAAATAAAACTTTATTTTCACATAATATTTTTTACAGGTTATTAATGTTGTTTACTGTAGGAGAGAGAGAGAGAGAGAGAGAGAAAGGAAGATTGATGACTTTTGTCACTTTGTATAAATTGATGATATTAACGCAAAAGTCTGCTACAGATATTCCATAGTGTCTCATGTTGTTCCATTTTGTTGTTTTTCTTCGCTATGTATTTTTCTTCTTCTTTTTGACTCTGGAGGTATATTTTAAAAGGACCTAGTTCTGGTCTTTTGTCTCCTAATTTTCTTAAGTATATGAAATGTTTCATATGGATCAGTAGCTTATTTTGTTGTCTTTTTTCTCTGCTGTATCCAAAAATAATGTCTTTATTTTCTGGTATGTTTTCACCAGCTTCCTCATAGCACGTTCTCAAGAAGTCCTTTGTGGCTGTACATTCTAGGAATCCATGTTCGATGCTATCTATATGGTTCTCATTACATATTGTACACATTGGCGTGTTTTTTCCCTCTATATTCATTTTGTTCAGCATTTTATTGAAGTAAATTCTTCTGTGTAATAATCTGAACTGGAAGTATCTAAGTTTCGCATTTTCTGTTATCACTTTATAAGTGGTGTATATTTCATCCCATTCTTTATAGTTATCCTCATTTACATTTAGCACCCTAAGCCACTTGTCTTGTGCTTTTATTGGTTGTATTTTTATCTGTCTTTTAAACATCCTATAAGTGCTTTTATTTGAGATGTTTGGCAATTGTTCTCTGAGTGGCTTCCAGTTTGTACAAATTTTTCCCCCTTCCACCATTTTTTGTCTCCATAATAATGGTATACATAGTACAATTTTGTTATAGTCTAGGAATGTTTGATGAGCTAAATTATACTTGGTTTCCAGTTCTTGGAATCTTAATAATTTGTTCTCTTTATATAACTGATGTATATGCCTTATTCCCTTAGATTCCCATTCATTGTTGTTTATAGTTTCTTTTCTGTTCAGAATGCAGCTGTTATTCCATATAATTTGATGTTTTATTTCTTCCTTCGTGACAAGTTCATTTGCTGCTTTGTAATGTAGCTCACACCATATTTTTAGTATTTCATCTATGCTTGTAATGTTCACCTTGTCTTCTAGTGTTTTTGGGTCCTTAGCATTACGATTCCATTTTCCCTTATTATCATAGTTTTTTAGCTTCATTTTCCATAAAGTTTTCCATTTACCTTGGTCATCTGTATTGAAATATTTTCTTAACCATTTAACCTTTGCATTTTTGGCAAAGGCATATTCAGCTTCCATTTAATGAATGGTCGAACATGCCTCATAAAATCATATTGCAAAATTACGCAGGTGTTCCCTTCAATAAGACAAATTATATACTATAAAGAGTGACTTATAGCAATATTTTGCCGACTTCCACATTATTATACCAACATTTCAATACAGAAGGATGGTACAGAATTGCTTGATTCAATGCAATAACAGATTTAACTTACCTCCATATACAATACCAAACTGTCCAGAGCCAAGGATATCCTCAGGAAAAATCTGGTAAATCTGACTCAGGTCCTAGAAAAATTCAAATAGAAGATTCAGATTGAATTGAAAACAACATTTAAATTCAAATGTCTATGTTCACTACATGCACAGATAAACTTTAATGAATACATGTACAGGTAAAACAAAAACATTCTTAAACATGTTCTTAAGGCTGGTTATTATAAAATCATAAAAACAGTTTTCTTCTATATATACACAACCTTCATATTCTCAATTCCATAACATTTCGAATCCCATCTGAGTTGATAAAGAATCCAGATGGGATTCGAAACATTCTGGAATTTAAAATATAAAGGTTGTGTATAAATTAGAAAAAATGGAGATGAGTGTTGGAAATTTGTACAACATTTTCGAGTATGTGAGAATTCAACTGTACAAACCTCCCTTTCCTCTTTCCTGTGTATTGAATTACTGCTTCTCTCACCTGGGAATAAAAATATGAAAATTTGTTATTTGTTATATCTTTGACATTAGATCATGAAATAACAAGGCATTAACATGCAAAATGCCATCACCTGCCATTTGTTACAGATGGCATCCACCAAACACCAACCACCAAGCACCATTCACAACAAATAACAATATGTCACCACTTGTGGTGGTGTAATAACAACTAAGACATCAATTTTTAAGGTTATTGGGAAAATTAAGTTCAGACCTACCCTACCAGATGTACTTGAAAATTATTTTGCCCTCATTTTAAAATCATTTAGTGGAATCATGAAAAACTTAAAACATTTTCCCATAATTTGAATAGTGACAAAAAGTCTAGAGACAAAAACACTTGTGATATAATGAATACCTGATAGCCTGAGTGTTAAAATCAAACTATAAACTATATAAAGAAAGGCTAAATACCAGTTGACTCGGATGCTGTACTAGGTTGAGGTGTCACAGGCATCAGGGCCTGTCTTAATGCATGCTCCCAGTGTTTCGCTACTTCAAGGCCTGTCCCACTCTCCGCCGAGGTCACGTGACTTTCCAGACCTCCACAAGTTGGGTCCTCACCCACATAGTAAGTAACTACTGCTGTGCGTATTTCAAATACATGAGGTGATCTGGTGGCTTCAACAGTTTGAGGGTCACGAGCATTTTCTACTGATATAATGCTGGCTAGATCAATCTCCTACGTGAAAGGAGGACACAAAATATTACATGAGTATTATTATTATCATATTTAAAATATCGACATTATCACATTGTATTGTTTTTTTATCAATTTTTTGTCTTTTCAATTTCTATTTGAATCAGTTTACAATGTGCAATGTATTTCATTTTCAATACATAAATACAATAATTGTAATTGAGAACCTCTTTTTGATCTTGAAAATAGATGTCTCATATGTCTCATTTACCTTGAAGTATCTGGTGGATTGGTCGGACAGAAATAATATGATTGCCTTGGCATCTAGCTTCCAGTAATGACGCTTTCTCTGTAAAACCAATGTGAAACAATGTTAATGAAGCATAGTATTAGATCACATGCTTCATCAGTATATTATTACAATAAATAACTCTGTTAGTATGGAATTAGTTCCAAGATGACGTGAGCAGATGATGTTCACTCAGTGTACATTCATTAATAATGGACAAGAACATATACATTCATTCTCATGTTGGTATCATTGGAAAGCTGAGATTTTAATTTTTCATTTTCACTAAAATTCAGGCTGTTTCTGGCAGCTTACAGACATCGTTTTTTATATGGAAGTATAAATTGAAGTAAATGAACAATTTCAAAAATCAACAGTTGACTGAAATGCACTGATTCCTTGTTAATAATCTGGATCATCTTAATAATCTTGCAATATTTATTTTCTCATCAATGTTTTCTTTCTCCAATATGCTCAATTATTCCTGGTTATTGCCAGGGGAAGAATTACTCCGCGGAACCCTTTCGGCCATGTCTCTTGCCAGTTTGAAATGGTTGAGTGCTTACTCATTGGAAAATGATCTATAGGTTCTTAAATACGCTGTAGAAGCGCAAACTTTATGTGGTGCGCGAAAGCTATCATATTCACGTCAGAGACGCACGTACAATGAGAGTTGCTATGCAACGTATTGACCCGGATATAACAAGAAATGAGACGCCACGACACTTCCTAAAATGGAAACCGGAATGTGCACGCTCCGCACATTTCTCCCAATATCTTCAGTTGTATTGAGGTAAGATTCAAATGAACTAATTATTTGTATTCCTGGGATCAATAGCTTTAAAATGATATCAGATTATATGGACATTTCTGGATATTTTTTATAAAAAATCCACTTGAAGTTGATCAAAATATGTACACGTGTTTTCTTACGGCAAGCGTTCGTTGAATTATACCAGCGTCCCTTTGGTTTTGGAAGATATCCTTTCGTCTATGTTAGGACCATGGTATGGTTGAACAAATGTCAAAATTTGATCAATATTGCATTTCAATCTGTAAAATTTATCAATAATTTTGTGGGTTATTTTTGGTCCATTTTTCCGAATGATTTTTCAGTTTTCAGCGTCTGTGTGCTAAGGATGTTTATGTTTTTTTTTCATATTCTTATTTCTTATGGAGCATGGTCCTATCTCATTGCATGTGCAGTTGCTAAGCCCAACTCCTTGTATTTTTCTTCATCGAGCGGACTTTATATGGTCTGGGATCACAAATATGGGTCCACGAGCCACTTTGACTCCTTTCAATACCAAATATGGTAATGAATGAATCTAAAATGTCGATAAAATAAAAGTAAGGATGTGTACCAATATTTTCCTTCGATATCGAAGTCAAACTTTCAATATTTCTTTCGCAAATTCAATTGTCATATCCTTGATGATGCTAAAAATGTGAATCTTGGACTTTTTTCTAGATCAATTTCCTTCATAGATCTAGACATGTTAGAAGTACTTTACTAGGTGATGAAATTCCTTGAAAAATAAATTAGGCCTATTCAAATGACAAACATAAATACCAAAATCAATTTGACGTATCTAAACCAAATCTTTAATAATATCTGCGGTAGGCCTAATTATGTTATTTTGGATTTTTTCCTCTCCCAAGAAATTTTTGAAAAACTGATTGAGTGCTTTTGAAAGTAATGTAGACCCATTATATTTACTTTCTAATTTGGAGGAAAAATTCTTATCTTAGGAAAATATTTACAAATATGACCTTTATTTTGAAACCCTTGCTTGACTCCCCCCCCCCCCCCCCCCTAAAATAAATTTAGATTTGTATTGAACTCAAATACTCAATGAGGTTAGATTTTGGTCCATTTTTCATGAAATTCCTGAAGACTTTAAGCCATGTAGTGTTATTATATAGGCCTATTGTAAATAAAACCAAGAAATACCCAAATAATTAATACATGATTTAAGACTTGATTTGTCTCAATTTTGGGTCTACAAATTGAAACTAAAAACACTTTTTATGTACAGTACTTTTAAAATATTCACCACATCCAATGTGCAATCAATATATATACATGTATATGTGATTCTTGCAGATGAAAGAATAAGACATGACAGAAATTAGAGACTTAGGCCTATACTAGAACTAGAAGGTTTTCGATTGATGTCCATGCAATCCCAATGATGAAGATGGTGGAAAAATGTCAACACCAATGGATACACTACTTCCATTAAATTCATAGAGGTTTGTAAACTAGACTTCATGTAATATATATTTACTAGCAACACTCTTAGCCTAGTAGGGGTTCTTAATGACCATTAAAATTCATTATTTTAATAGGTCTGAAAGTATGAAAGATTGGGAATTAAAAACTCTAGAAATATCCCAGTCAGTTTACTCATGCAAATAATTTGTGGTAGGTCATGAAACACCCTAAGACATTTAAGTATTTTTAACTTATTCTAGGAAAGACAAGTCAAATACTATAGGTGTCCTTTGTTAGTTAGAGAGGAAAATATTGGTTACCCATTCAGCGCTCTTACTAGTAAATTATTCAGTGTTACTGTAACAATTAGTCATAACATTTTTTCAAATTCATTCCATTAAGAGATATTGGCTCATTAAAGGGACATTCCTGGCCAGACCATTTCTCTCACAATATGATAGCTATAACCATATAATCGTTTCCATAATATTAGCAAAATGCAGACAATTGGTTTGATATATTCAACGTTGATCAATTGTCTAGATACATGAGATAGAAATACTTGATTTACATCATTAAATATTCAGAATTCAAGAAGTTAAATATGAAAATTGATCAACTGATGAACATTCAAGTTTAATGGAGCTTTCTGTTATACCTGCCATGCATGCTATTTACCCCAAGTTAGCCACCTGGTGGTGAAACTGGCATTAGTATTATTAAAAAAATGCAGTGCTTTTTCAAGTAGGGTTGGTTTATATTAAACTTAGAATTAAGGAAGACATTTTACACATCTATTATAAAATTTTGAAAAAAAGCTGAGGTCAGTTAGCTATATTAAAGGGGCAACAAGGACTCTAAAGAGAAATTTCAAAAATTTTTATTTTTCTGAGCTATCAGGTCAATATTTGGCTTAACGTCTTCTTTGACATACCTATTTTCTGAAAATGTATGGATAAACTATCAATTCCAGCATCAAGAAGTGTAAATTCAGTTCAAAGCTGCTATAAACAGATAAAGGGAGTCACACTTATAAATTTTTAAGATTCGCCGCGTTTCAAGTGGAATATCAGCTGAAATAATGTTCATCCAGGGGGTTTCTTTGTAGATTATAAAAACATGTTAGTCTTGATGAAATATCCAAACTCAAATATATTTTGACACTGGTCGATGATCTGCACTAATTGTTCCACCTTTAACTGAGGGAGATATGTCTAATTTCTAGAGATAACAACATATGTTTGAATTGATGGAAATTGTGTTGAGACCATTTGTAGGGCACATATTGTATGTTAAAAATATATTTCAGCAGTGATGTCTCAAACAGAGAAAATTTGGAGATTTGTCATGACACATGTAGAATACAGATCATGATCAAGTGACAAGCAAAAAGAATTAAACAAACACATTTTTATAATCAACATTTTCACTTAATCATTTCACAATTATCTGATTTTTTGTGAATTGAACTGCAATAATAAAGAAAATTGAATAAATGTTCCAATTGTTATTGGCCCACCCTGTATCTATGTAAATTAACAACATACTAGTATATTCATTTATGTTTTACAGGCTTTGTCTCCAAGATGCCTTGGGTGCACAGAAGGTTGGCTTTGGTGGATGGTTATGCCTAAGTACCTGAGTGATGAAGTAAACAAGATGACTTAAGGCAAATAACAGTCATTTGAGACTGTTTGACATAATACAAAACTAGCTACAGGTACAGAGGTAAGAGATCAAGTAATATACAGTAAAACCTGTATTATCTGAACACCATTGGGAATGGCCAGAAAGCATTCAGATGAAGAAATGTATTGATTTCGAAGTTTCTCTATCCGCAAGATTGTGGATTTTTAAAAAATATTTCTGCATTCTCAATGAATATTATTATTCCTATTGACCATCTGGCTTCATGGCATCCAAAATCTGAGGACATTTCATATTTTTCAGAAGTTTTGATATCAAATCAATATTTGACAAGTTTTGTAAGAAAATTGTGAAAAGTGTTCGGATTACACATGTTAACTTTTCAAATATGAGTGTTCACTGTTCAAATTAGGACGTTGTCGGGTTTCAAGGTTTTTTAATATGGGAGTCAAGTCAATGGGAGGAAAAATGGAGCCAGAAAATGTGTTAGCATTGGAAGGTGTTTGGATCAGCCAGGTGTTCAGATATACAGGTTTTGCTGTATGGGATAAACTCATCATCTTTGTTATCAAAATAACATTATAAGGAAAATGTTTGCATCTTATTCAGTAATGATAATTCTTCATTTTCTAGCCCTATTTAAAAAGAAAACTACATAATAGGCCTACATAATTTGGTCCTGATTACAATTTTTATTGTGATATTGTTATGGTCTCAATTTTTCTTTTTTGACGGTGGTTGGTGCTTGGCGGTTGATTGTTGGTGGTTGGTGTCTGTCACGCCCGGTGATCGTGAATATGGGACGGAGGGGGGAGCAGGCAATTTCTGCTAGGAAATTCAACAAATCTGATTTATAGCAAAAACGTTGATTTGTGCCTGTTGATGGCCTTGCGCCTTTTTTTTTAATAGATCTCATACCTTAGATGCGTATCGTTTCAGAAAAAATCCCAGAAAACCTAACATATTCTACCATACCATGCGCCTATCCATTTAGCAATTCAATAGTAAACCTTTTCTTGAAAAAATAAATCTTCCAGATTTGTTGAATTTCCTAGCAGAAATTGCCTGCTCCCCCCTTCGTCCCATATTCACGATCACCGGGCGTGTCTGTAACAAATTCTTACAACTTTCAATAACTTAAAAAATACTGTTTAGACTGACTTCAATTTTTTTCAAAATCATCATTATGTTTTCAGAAGTATAAATCTGACAATATATTTAAGATTTGACCTTCAATGACATTTTCAAGGTCAAGAAAGGTCAAAAAGGTCTTTTTTCAACTTGTTTCAAATTGACCAATTTTTTTTTCAAAATCATCTACAAGTTATCAGAAGTTCAAATCTGACTTTAGATTTGAGATTTCACCTTCAATGACCTTTTCAAGGTTAAAAAGGTCTTTTTCAACTTGTTTCAAATTGACCAATTTTTTTTCAAAATCATCTACAATTTATCAGAAGTTCAAATCTGACTTTAGATTTGAGATTTCACCTTCAATGACCTTTTCAAGGTCAAAAAAAAACTCCTTTTTTCAAAACCATCTACATGTTCTCAACAGTTCAAATGTAACTATAGATTTGACCTTCAATGGCATTCTCAAGGTCAAAAAAGATTTGACCTTCAATGACATTCTCAAGGTCAAATTGAAATTGACCGATTTCTTTTTCTAAATCATCTACAAGTTCTCAGAAGTTCAAATCAGACTTTAGATTTGAGCTTCAATTACTTTCTCGGGGTCAAAAAAGTCTTTTTTTCTACTTGTTTCAAATTGACCAATTTATTTTTTCAAAATCATCTACAAGTTCTCAGAAATTCAAATCTGACTTAGGATTGAACTCATAATATTGTGAGCGCCTAGTTGATGAGATTTTGTCATGTTAATGTCTTGTTAACACCATGATTGGAATACCAATTTAGACAATGCTAAGCTTGAATGAAGTAACTGCATTCATATTTCTTTTATATCATAGTGATACATGCAATTTGTTACTTTTGTGTGATATTCACTTTCAGGTGTGATCCATCAGGGGCCTTCGAAGTGAACTATAGCCTTGTATGACTGAGCCTTTTTACAGTGTATGTAAGCACATGCTACAGGAGACTATGACCAGAGAGACAATAATGAGTTCGACAAACGAGTCCATGGCAGTAGTGGAACTTACTGAGCACATTGACTTACTTTAATTTTTCTGTCTCTCTTTGGATTTATGGTATTTATGGCATTCAGAATATAGACAATGGACACAGAACAAAAAGAACAACATCTGTTTTAATGACCATATCTCTCAACAGCTCAAGAAAATATGTTCCTTGTAAACACCATTCCTAAACACATGTAGCTATGTACAGGATATCCATAAATCCATATTTACAAATACTAGTGATTTAATTATGAACTACAGAACACTTTATTCTTCTTCGGGATTTTGAAAATGTGGTGTGTAGTTATTCTGATAAAAATAAATGTATATTTTATGCATATTTTTGTCATGTACATGATTTTATTATACATGTCAGACCTATATAGCCAGCTTTTGCCAATTAGGGGGTCACTTTTTAAAAAATGCCAGGGGTTCACATTTGACCATTTTGGCCCAAAAATGACCAAAATCAATCTTTGGCAAGATGATTCGCTGGAACCCACCGAACCACGCTGGCTATGGGCCTGCATGTACATAATGTAAATAGACTTAACTATTGGTTGTCATAGCAGTAGGCTCTACATCAATAACAATATTCATTTGTTTTTTATAATAGTATTACAATGACGAAACTTTTCAAAAGAATAATATCGATACTAAATGATCCATAGCCAATTCTGGCATTTTAGACAATAAAGGACTGGACTTATTGACTGGAAATGGTCCAAAATGATTTTGGGTGTATTTTGACTATAAAATAAAATAAATTTCTGGGTGTCATTTTTGAAGAAATGAATGAGAATTTTATTACTAATAAAGTATAAGTTGGAAAGAACTTGAAATTACTGATTAGTATGGTGATTTTCTCATTAAAATAGAAAATATACTCATCTATTTAAAAACACAAAATAATACAGTTATGACGTCGCAATCAATGTGCTAATATGCATAAATATAATTTTGCAAAATAGAGCTCTTTTTTTATCTTTAATATGATATAAATTTTATCAAAATCGAAGAAATATTCGGGGAGTTATGTGTAAAAAACACTTTCTGGTCATTATTTTCTGGTTACTATTGACATGGGCATTTAGGCACTTGAGGTCCACTTTTCATAATTTTTAACAAGTGAATCTCAAAACTAGGCACTATGAGCTTTCCAACGGTACCAAATTTATCCCTAGGCCTATGTCATAACTGTACATGTATAAGTACTTTCAACTAGCGCTTTTGGGCCATCATTTAGACTACCTACAATACACAATAGAAAGGGCATGTGATTTTTGGTGTTTTGGGATATGATTTTGATTTGGCTGTAGAAAAAAAATTAGCTCGGTGACCCCATATTTTTGGAGTCATAATTCTAAGAATTGAACGTAATTTAAACAAATATAAAAAAAATTCTTGTTAATTACTATTATTTATATTAGGGGGAAACAGGAGCGTTCATGGCGTAGGAAGGTGTAAATTCAACACAACGCCAAATGAAACAATTGTGTCAAATCTTCTATATCAAAACGCCTATTTTATGCTCGTAAAACGTCACTTTAAGGCAATACCTTTCTAATTTAAAATGTTCGAATGTTTTTCATCACATAAAATCACTATGGAAAGCCGGTCTTTTAAATCTCGACACAACTCATTCTCACTTTTCTAATGTGTAAATGTTATTTTTTCTCGAACAATATAGACAACAAATTTCCAGATAACAATGAGAGAATTTTTTACCATTTCTGAATAAATGAATTTAGATACATATTATTGTCTGATTCCATCGTGAATCGTGCAATACGACGATACAGAGTAAAGAAACGCAGTGTGATTAATCGTTTCAAAGAAACATATTCGTGATCAATGACAATTAACCCTAATGTCTGCAACCTTTTTATAACAATAATTCGCAAGACCAAATAACCCCCCTTCCACCCTCCACAAAGGTCAAATCAAGGTAAACGTGACTTGGGGGTGCCAAAACCTTTCCAGAACTGAAGTTGTACTTTCAAAGATAGCAGGTATCGCCAAAACTCGTAATGGAACGCGTAATTGAATAATCAACAGTTTCAAGTTTTTTCTTCAACATTCATATTTCAAGAAGTACTACCAATAACAATTAGTGATTTAGCAAGAAAATAGATAAGTGCTGTATAAGCATTGCGGAACATGCACAAAAATTGCAAAGGTATTCATCAAGTAGTAAAAAAAACAGTTTTTCTCTCAAATTCGTAAATAGAACGCGATTCACGAATATTTGGTGCTATTGTAGTATAGCTCACTTTTAAAATTCATAAGAAAATCAATAGTGGCTCGATTTTTATAAAATCTGTTCAGTGATTAGAGCAATAATGATTACTTTGCATTTTCTGCAATATTAGAAACAAGGTAACTTTCAATATTTTAAAACGAATTCAATATTTTAGACTCTGGTGAATTTCAGTTTTCAAAATGTGTTATTTATCTGAGGCCCAGGTTAGAAAAATAACATCGAGGCACAAAAATCTATTAAAAGAGTAGTACTATTGAAAAATCGAGCATATCATATGGTATCCAAAAAAACATTGCTTTAGGCTAGTGTGCGCGAGATTACTTTTACAATTTATTCACAATGAGAAAATATATAAAGAACATAGGAAACATATATAAAGAACATAGGAAAAATTAATAAGCCTTTTTTATTATCACTTTTCAATACTACGCACTGGCGATTTGGCGTATATTGTTCCTCCGCCACTGTTGAAAATGCATTATTTCTCCCATTGAATAATAGCTATGTTTAAATATATTGTATAAAATGTATAGATATGTGTTTGTAATCACTGCAAATTGGTATGTCATCCCTCTTTATGCCCATAAAATGTATATATTTCTCAGCAAACAAGCTTGTGTTTTTTCTTGAGTTTGTGTTTGTTTTCCTTGTAACTTTGCATGATTTGGATTTTTCCAGCATGCAAAACAAAGAATCTACTTCTTATGGCCTTACATAGCATATTGTCCAACTTTCTTACATCTGTACATTGGAATAGTTAGTCGAATACGATTTACTTACGTCTAAGAGGAGCAATGGTTCCCGGGAAAATATAACTAAAAAATCAGAAAATATATTTCTGGGCCCTCCAAAAAATATGTTTCGGCCTAGATGAAGAGATATACTTCACCTAGAATTCCCATTGATGATTCTTTTGTTAGATATTGATCTAATGATTCTTATTTATCAAAAAGCCGGATGCAAAACGGAATAAAAGCAAAGATAGAAGCGTGAAAAGTACAGGTTGCCAAGGTAAACAAACCTTTTAGAAAATGAAAAGTTCATTTGTACACAGTGATTGTAGCGTAGATATTTTAATTGTCTTGTACCATTTGATAGGGGACATCTTCAGGAACATGCTCGTATAAAGATGATAAAATTTGGGTCAGTATTAATGAAATGGCAAGCGATCTTCCAAAACGCTATGGATATATTTTAGCGCTATCGCGTCATTCACACGATGACCAGCTTCTCCAAAGTGGCAATAGAGATGGTCGAAAGGCGCTAGCGGCTTTTGTAACGTGAAACACAGAAGACGTCGTACTCTGGTTATTGCTACTATAATGCTTCACTAACAATATCTAATATAATTATTTCATCAACAAATTACAATTGTTGAAATAAGCTTGCTCTACAACAATATTAAAGTATATCAGTCACAATATCTATGAGGCTCCCAAGGGAGTGAAAGAACTAAATGTGTAATTTATTATATAGGAATATAAAGGTTACATGTACCCACCATGTTATCTTTGCTGGTAAAGTGCACCATCCAACCCTCTTTAATAAGCTGGGAGCCTGCACGCTTGGTATGTTTAATAGATTGCACAATCCTCATGAGAGGTATGTTACTGGATGTCAGCCTGAAACAAAAGCACTCCCTACAGATACATATAAGTGCTGGAGAATAGTAAGGCAGAACAGAGTTAGAAGCAATGAGATTTTAGAGCTAAATGGAGTTATTAATATCAACAATATACATGTAGTAGCCTATAGTGACATAAAACATGGAAAAACACTGAAATGTGATAAAGTCAGTAAAAATCTCTCATACCCAAGTGCAGGTTTCTGTTGAACAGTATCATCCGCCTCTTCCAGTTCAGCCATAGCCTCATCATCCAACTCTCCAGGACATTCCTCTGAGTTATCAACAAATGAGCTGTCAGTGTCTACACATGATATGCTATCATTAGAGTCTATGGAGTCAAATGGAGCACCTGTAATGAGCAATACATTTACATTTAAAGATGTGCACATGAATGGGCTCTTAGGAGTGAAAACTTACATGTTAACACTTCAGTTCAGTTCAGTGTTTGGATGTTCCATCGTCTACCATACACCCAGAACTGACTTTGTGAATGCTTCATGTTGTGCAATTAAAAAAGTTCAAAAATTGTTCATATTTTACTCTTAATGACAGGTGATGATTGCTAAATGAGAATGTAGACTAAAATGTTGAATTAAAGAATTCATACAAATGGCCATTTCCTAGCCTTGCCCAAGTCGGTATTTTTTACTTATCTGATCTTGAATTATTACCGCCTTGTACAATCCAATACATCTCCGCTGCTATTATGCTGAGATATTCAACGGTTTCGAGATTTCCATAATACCTACGCTATCAGGGGTATCGCGAAACCTTATTGATTAACAGATATATTTGTATTTTCATGATGAATTCATGCAAGATTTGTTCGTGAAAAGTCCCGACGAAAAGTGTACTTGTTTTTGACCGTGCATAATAATGAGCTAACGCTGCAGGGCCGTCGTTGATTGGTCACATTTTACCGACATAAACATTGAGTCGGTAAAGCACATGGCTTTCTCTTTTGTACAAGGCGGTCATAATAGAAATCAGATAGTAAGAGACCGACTTGGGCAAGGCTAGCCATTTCCCTGAATACATCATAGTTGTGATTTCACTTGTGCCTCAGACATCTGTTTTTATCACATGAATAGGAGTGTCTAAGCATTTTGATTGGTCAATTGTGATGATGTATATTCCGTATCACATGGCACGTGACTAATTTTCATGTGATACGGTGGGCTGTATCACTATGGAGTCAATAGCAACGATGTGACGTCACTGGTTATATCACTTACTAGCTAAGGAAATCAATATGACGTCATACTATTTCACAAACAAGTACGAATACAACGGTATGACGTCATATTGTTTCAAAGCGAAATCAAAAATTGTAATAGTTACCAGGAGTACAGGGTACTGAACACAATCAAAACTGACCAAATCAAAATGCTTCAGAATTCCTAGACATGTGATAAAATCGTCATCACACGTTTCAGCTTATGTGATACAGGAAATATTCCACTCGGGTAACAATGTATCACAACTCAAGCTTCGCTTTCGTGGATGATACAATATTACCTTTCGTGGAATATTTCCTGTATCACATGCTGAAACGTGTGATAACTGATAGTACTTCTTTACAGTATATTAAACAGGGTTGGAGAATGATCACAATGTATTTTCAAAATTCATGATTATGGTTAATATGATATACTAAATTACAATAATGAAGCACTAAGTAATACATGGATTTCAATTCAATTCATTTCTTTGCAGATTTTAATTATACATGTACTAGAACTAAGTTCATATTTTAAAGCCACCTTTTAAACTAATAAGGTCAACCAGAGGTCAATTATCTAAAGCAGGGTCATCTTTAGAATCCCTTTAATTGGAAATTCTTAACAGTACAATTAGATACATCTTACCTAGTATATAAAACCACATTTAAGACAATAGTTATAAAGACAACACAGGAAAACTAGATACACTGTACCAGAGTCAAATAGCATAAGAATGATGTAGTTACACCAGGAGGTTAATTCACACATGGCCTGAGAAAAATGCCATGATACATTCAGCCATAGTAGATCACACAAATCAATTGTTTTATTTTGTTTTATTAATTGGAACTCTATTAAAACATGAGATAATGAAAGAGATGCAAATATTAAACGGATTAAGGGATCAATTCATACGAGAAAAACACAGTTAGTATAAATAGAGACTAAGGGAATTTCAAACTTTCACACATTTGTGACAGGATTCTATGATCACAAGATCAACACCCTCTAGTGGCCAGGGACAGAACCAACACCAAAAAGCAAGAAATCCTGAGAAAGGAACAGCAGAATACCTACAATTTGAAAATCTGGATATATCTGAAAGGCCAGAGGAAAGTCAAACTGCAATTTTCTCCAGATTTGAACTCAAAGCTTTTGGTTTTAAATAGGCTTGAAGCATCAATCCTCTCAGCATTACATGCCAAAAATGTACATGCATATGTGAAACATGTGAAACATGAACAGATAAAACAAAGGAGACCCTTCTCAATATTGACCACTCATCTTAGTTTTATAAGGTTTGAACTAATTACAATAATAAGCACTATCTTGTACATTGGTGATTAAGGCACTGAACAAAAACCCTTATTATGAAAATTTCAGCAAAAGCTTTATATACTAAACTACCTAATAGCCATACAATTACCCAGACTTGTAAATTCAGACTTCAACAGTGCAAGAGAATTTCCCCAAATGAATTAGAGCAAAGAAACTCATCTAAGCAAAGCATTACCTTGAGACGTATACAACCTCAGCAAACCTATCAGAAAATATGGCCACACACTTTATTTACATGCATTTATTGAAAACACAAACTCTGATATGATAAACAAATTACATCTCGCTTTATAAAAGGTGGTCAAATGTAAGTAAGTTTTAAAATTGGCCAGGCTGGTAATAAGAAAATCATTGTCAAAATATCTAGTATCAGAGCAAGTATGGCTGATAATGGGACATGCATAGGTAAGTCTGTTCTTAATGGATAACTGTTTCAAAACATACAAATCGATTCACATGGAGAAGTTGGTTCACAAACAACATAGGTACAAAGTGTTCAATTTCTAGATGGTATCTTGTTTACCACCAATGAAGTTAAGTATAATCACATATATTATAACAGTCATATTTTATTTGTATGTAACCATAATGACTATTAATCAAGTTGTAAAGCAGTCCTCATTTTAGAGTTGAAGAACTGGTATTTTTAACATGGGTCACGAGCCAGCGCTGCCATTTCGTGAATTAGCAGCCCTCTAGTAATTGTTCACATGATGTGCTAGTACAAATAAAGCATAGTATAGTATTTTGTTTACCACCAATGAAAGTGAGCAATAACTCTTGGTTATATCCCATATATATATGGTTGTAATTAACATAATTAGCCAGAAACCCCTCCTCAAAGGAGCCCTGTGTTCTTTTATGTGCACCCATTCATAGACATACAAGTACACACCACAGCCTTTTTGTATAAGTTGTGGACCACTCAGTCAAACACCCTGAAGTACTTAACGCATATAAGAAAATTAAGTCTTGCCTGAACCGGGGATCGAATCCGGGACCTATTGCGTAAGAGGTACCTGTGCTACCACTGAGCTATATGGGTGGACTATAATAATCATCTACAAGAAGAGTTAGGATCTAGGATTGAACTTAGGACCTCTTGCTTTAGAGAAAAGTGCTTACAATACTACACACTAACAAATCATTACAGCACTACATTATACTGCAGTTATCACTGGACACTCTATAACCCCAGCTATCTGACCAATGGGTTTTGCAATTTATGAAATAAAGCCATAACTTACCATCCACTGCACCTGTTATACAACCCTGGCAGTCCTTTGCTACAGATGATGAACACTTTTTGTGGCAGTTAAATTTACAATCTGCAATTAGATACATGTAGGATTATAATACACACAGAATTTCTATTATGTCCTGACTTTTTGATGAGGAACAACTAGGATGAAAAAACACAAATGGCTTAGATATGAGATTTAATCAAGAAAATGACACAAGTTTATAATGACTAAGAATTGTAGGTATTCAAAAATAAAAATGAGTATTAAAGAGGCAGACCATCAGTTGATGAAAATACCATTTGTTAGACCTGCAATCACTGTCTAAACAATCCTTTGGGTTATTTCATCTTATACTTTTGCTTTGCAATCCTTATCTGATCACTTGCTAAAAGGATTTCATCCAATACCTTTGCATTGCAATCCCTGTCTGAACAATCCTTTAAGTAACTTCTTGCAGTGTTGACACACTGTAGGTCGTGTGTAATTGTGCATTACAAATGTATGAGGAACTTTGATTCTCCCAGCATATTCTCGTTCTAGCCATAATGGCCGCCCACCACTCCAAGATCTGGAGCGACTGTATTTGGTTTCATTGTTGTGATTAGTGGCAGAGGTGTCAGTGAGCGGTGAGAGCTGGAAATGGAAAGATCATAAAAATAAGAAAATAAGGCACTGTGAGTGTGACGACAAATCTATGTGTTAAACTAACAATACGAAAGTTATAATTCAAAAAATATGAAATTCATTTTTACGTACATGTCCTATATGTACATGAGCTATATAAAACAAGAGCTCTGACATATATTTGTTACATAGGATTACTACTACTACTACACTATTTAAAAGGCAATTAATTGCATCTGTTTAAATCATTAAATGGTCATATAATGTATAACTTGCAGACAGTCAGTGTTTTTCCTAAGGCAAAATACATCACAGGACCACCGGACTGACAGGTATACATTTTGGCCAGTCCATACCAAAACTCATCGGACATTCGGACCTGTAACTTCAGTTTAATCACCGGTCCGTGTGAAAACTAACCAGTCCAAGACTAAGAGAGAAATGAAAGTAACAAATTTTAGAGCGAATTTCTTGCGAATTCAGTTTCAAATCAGCCCATAATCGCATGTTTTTATACATGTTAAAGGTGACCTACTTCTCAGCGTACACTTAACTGCAAATTATATTGAATTCGGACGAAATTTCCGAAAAAATCATCAAAAAATTAACTTTAAAGTTTACATTATTAATGCGCATGCGCATAATTCTATCGTTTTGAAAATGCTTTTGATTGGTCGATCAACTAAAATTCACGTGCCATCACTCGTGGATCACCATGAGGTCTGCATGCTTACGAATACGGTTTCACGATAGCCCTGATAAACAGGCGTAATAATCATGGGAATCTCGAAACCGATCCAATATATGACAAAATTAACCAACCAATCAGCGATCAGATTTTGCAATGATACCGAAAGATAAACCAAGGGCGAACGTAATACCCGGATCGTTCGCAAATTGGCGTTCGGTTTTTTACCACATCCGATTTGAATTAGCCAATAAAACCTCACGCGGTAAAAAATCGAGATGATTACCCAAGAGTCTAATCAACCAATCGGAGAACAGTTTCTGTTTGATGCTGATAAAAAAATGATGATACGTAAACATCCTCCCGTGCAGCCAATTTCACTAAAATGATTTTTAGAATTTCAAGGTTTTACCGTAGATATGAGATTTCAGACAGCGATCGGACCAAATTTGGGAGTAAAGAAATGATTTAAGATGAGGAACCGGACACAGGCAGAATTGAGGACTGGCTACTTGATAAAACTCATCAGTCCGAAGCCCACATCACCGGAGATGTCCTATGGTCCGGCGCTTAGGAAAAACTCTGCAGACAGTACAAAAACTACACATTATATTAAAACTGAATCATATACATTTATTCATAACCTCTCTATTTCTAAGTTTTTCATATTATTTCACTGTCATAGACACTGCTCATTTTAAAACATGATTATCATTCAACTCATCCTAAAACACTTATTGTAATTAAAAAGTTACAGTGTACTAGGATCATAAAAGCATATTGCCAATATCAAAAAAAACAAAAGCAAGCAAGCACACCCTACTATAGTATTATATAGGGACATAAACCACCAATTAATACTTGTACGTGTGAAGCTAGACTGAAACAGTTATTTCAGGTTATAAAAATGAATGATATAAAAGTAGTTTTACATCATATAAGTGAACTAAATGTATAAAGACTTATAAATAAAGGCTTTAGATTCTGTCCAGAGGGGCAGTATGATATTGACCAATGAAAATATATTGACCAAGGGCTTCGGCCAGTGAGTGTGTCAATTCATTATATTTTACTAAGTCAATGACATAATTCACCTTAAAATAAGATCCATATCACTTCCAATTACTTATTTATTCCATCAAAACATTGATTTCTATGAGATATAAAATCTTATTTGATCGAGACAAGATGCAATTATTATTGCATCACAAATGTTAAGATCATAACAGATACCAGTTATATTAGTTCTGGAGATGCAAGTACATGAGCAAAATCATCCATGGAAATATACCAAAGTGCTTCAATCTTTCATATTCTCTTTAAGTTAATAATGAATCTAATACATGCTTGAATATATGGGATTATGGTTAAAATAGGACTAAATATGGGATATGGGATATCAATTTTATTTTGTCCTGTATTCATAGAATATTATATTTATATCATATCAAATATAATATAACATATATATTTCAAAAATTCTTTTCTAACAGTATAATTTGTAAAGTCCAACTAATGTTGATTTACCATACTTAATTACATTAATAAACTACATTGGAATTAAAAAAGGTTCAGAGAGTCTAGGAACAAGCATTGTACTAATATTACATATGAAAATCTATAATTATCAGGGACAGTTATGTTAATATATCTTATCTGTGTTAACAAATGAATACATTACTTACACCCAAAGCACTAATCTAATACACAATGACAACATTTAAGCTTAAAAGATGATAAATCATAAGAATTGTGTTGACGTATCTTTTGTTAGCGTCTCATGCCCTCTGTCTCAAGAGCATTAGCTGTTTCCAGTAGATAATCATAGTGATGTATATCCTGTTTCTCCGTGTTCTATTTCAATACTTTATTTCAATTTACTGTTTTGCTCTAGACTGTTTCAAAACTTTTCCACATTTAGATGGTAATTCGTAACGTTTGTAGGTATGAGTAAATGTTTCTGAACGTGTCTTTTCCTTTTTTTGTTTCATTTAATATCATACTTTAAGATATGATTTATTTATATATCTTATTTGTTAGAATAACATTTCGCAGTTTTGGTTGGAGGTATTTATTTTCATATGGTATGGTACATAATGCTTTCATATGGTATATCATATAGCCTTCTCTCTAAATATCATTCAGAGAATATATCAGACCATATGAAATCTGTCATTGAGCAGCAACATTTACTTTACATAGTAGTCACAACATTTTCCAATTTTCTTGGAATTCTGACTGTAATTGAATGATTTGGATACAAAAAAAACTAACTAATATTTTACATTGAAAATGTTTCATGGCACATACTACCCTTATTCTCCCTAGCTTCTATGCCTATCACAGATGATTATATAATTTTGATTAAATATTAATGATCTTCATGTCCTTTTATGTGAGGTTCAATATACATTTAGTCTAATTGTAAAATGAATGTAATCTTCTTACAACTGGAGAGAATATAGTGTCATGATTTTATATTTTGATTTAATATTCTGATCAATGAATTATCTCCTATTAAAAGAGGTAAGACAGAGTCAAGTGTTTGTGAAGGGTATACAGAATCACTGAGGACAATATCTTGAAAAATTATTCTTCCCTGAACAATTTATCATTGTAAAAATGATAAACTAGATTGCAAACTACAAAAGACGTACTCTAAATTGTATGAAGCTAATTTGTCTTGCTTTCAATTCTTCCTCATTTCTCTGAGGTATTTAGACGTGATAACCAAAATTAACAGATGAATCAAGCTTCATATTTCAACCATTGAATGAAAACCATATTTCAACCATTGTATGAAACCATTGAAAAGAGCAATTGTTTCTACAAAGAAGAAAAGAAATGGATTTTATACATTTACACTAAAGCTATTGTGTTGTAATTCATTAGGTAAAATAGCAATTACTTAATGAAAATAAAGGGATGAACTGCTCAAAGAATCTTTTTCACCATTTAGGTGTCTCTTTCATACTTATCCTGTATAAAAGTCAACCTTAATTTGATTAACAGGAGCTCTTCATAATTGAAAGTAAATGATTTCAGATTTCAAAGCTTCATTGTTCTTGACAAATAAAATGTGAAAATACAAAGTGTTACCATGACTACTGCATTATATGGTCTTGCTTACAAATGACATCTAAAGGAATTACACATGAAAGTAAGGATGAGTGGGTGAGTCCACATAATTTCATGGCATGCGATCAAAAAATTCAAATCATTTATAACAAAAATATCAGATACTGAGACTAAAAGCTCAACATAATCGAGTACACAACACTACAATAATTAATAACTAGGAAAAGCTGAACTTTAGCTATGTCTGCAGCCATTGGTATTTTCAATACAGAAGAACCTTCATTATGGTTCTGTGATTATCACAAACATTCATGAAAACTAGTAAAATACTCACAAGTTGTGATTCAGCCCCTTGTAGACTTTGCATTGAGCCCTGTCTTTTGCGTATGTGGGAGCAATTGTTTGGTATTTTGTATGCACATCTTTTGTGAAAATTCTGTCCACATCCTGAAGAACAAAATATTTAAAAATTCAAAAGAATAATTTATTAAATCTTATTATTTATCTATTTTGCGTTCATGTTGTTAAGTACTTGGGGTTAAAGCACTTAGTAATAGAAGCCCCTTCATTTTGATATTGACCTTATATTATATATTACCATGACATTGAAGAGTTACAATGAGCTAGTATTCCTAACCATATATGGGCATGTGGATAAAAAGGTTTCATACATGGTTCTCCAGACAGTAAATGAGCTTACGAAGATTGTGAATGAATACAAATGAATCCATTAATTCTGTTCAGACATCTTATATGTCAGCTAGGATAAAATAATGAAAACATGTGACATCCAAAAGTCATATGAGATTTTACAAATACAAGTACATTACATAATGTAGATTTTTTGCACCAATAAGTATCTTAAGTTTTCATATTTACTCTATCAGGACAATTTTGAAACACAGAGATTATTAAATGTATCACACTCCAAGAGCAAAATGGGCACTTTGCAAATTATCAAGAATGCCTGAAACCTAGTCAGATCTTGATACTAATCTTGAAAAGTTTTCTCTCAATCTTAATGGCAAGACATTGATGACATAGTCAACAATAGCAATATAGCTTTTTTGGATTATGTCATATTCAGTAAACAATTTGGAATTAGATTGGGAAAAATGCTTTACCTAAATAGTCTTTTTTTGTGTGTCTAAGGTGACTTTCTTATGTTTTACCTTTCTTAAAATAATTTTGAAATATCAAAAGTTTATTGATTATTTCAATAAAATACTATTATCTATAGATTGTGAAAAAAAGGCATGGGTCATTGATTACCAGGATTTTATAAATACTGTGTGCACTGTATGATAAGTGCATAATCATCACAAGCATTTAAGGCCTACAAAATTGAATTAGACCAGTTGCCATGTTATTTTCCTGCAATCAATGCATCTAACTTTGTGTTGTTGCATGATGCTTGCTTCTTACCTTCACATTTAAGTCCCTGGCGCACAAGTCCAAACAACATCTCACCACAGAAGTCACAGAAATGAGGGGACTTGTAAGAGTATACGAACAACATATGGGGGCGGATCTGTAGTTCCTCCATGGTGGTAGAGGCTGAAAAGAGAACAGTATAAACATATATACTTGAAATTATATTTCTTATTTTCTAATAAATAATCATTAATGAACTAAATTCTCTTGAGATAACTAGTGACCAAATCTTGGTAGAATATTTCTTTTTACCACCAAAACACACAGTTCAAAAATATTTGATATAATCCAGTAGGAAGGAGTGTTCCAATGGACCAAAATGATGTACATGTATTTTCTATTTACATTTTTATAATCATACCTAAGATTTTGGCATGTTCCTTAAATCAAATATTGTCCCATGGATTTTTGAGGCCATTTTTTGGCCATCTTTAATTTTCAATGTTATAATGTTAATCAGTTCAACACTTCCATAGTTTTGGGAGTTTAGAGCTATAAATTGTACCCCCAGATTATACCAAAATGTTTTTTCAAATTTTTTCAAAGATTTTGCCCTCGTGCCCCATCAGAAATATCTCATAGTAGTTGATGCAATTATATTTGTAATTATGTATTATATCATATAAAAAAATCACCCGAGATAAAAGTATTTTTAAAGTAAGAATGTCAATGTGATCTAATACTTCGTGCATGTAATATATTCAGCCACGGTAACTTTGATTATTCATCAGAAACAGAAATAAAAATGTAAATATTCAGCCAATTCATATCAATGGAAATCTATATTCTGAACAATGGATAAGAATGACTTTGAAGCAATGATTAATGTATCTCTTATTGAAACAAACTTTGCAAACAATTAACTACAATCAGAAATTATTTCTTAAACAAACATACTGCATCATTTGTATCAAATAGTTTTCTCAATACTGAAATTGACGACTTGGTACAATCTAATAACATCCGCAGAATCTAATTCACAAACAAGTTATTAAATGCAATCATGATATATACAGCATCGGTATCCTGAAGACAATTATGAAACGTGCGATAGGCAGACAGATGATGACTTTCATTTCCCTTGCTGATATTTCAATGATACAAATGTAAGAGTTAAGAGGAAAACAACTCTTTCCATAAACAACATATTGAAATTTTAGCTTGGAGGCCATGAGAGTGGTGACATAAAGGATATTCCCTGGAGATTTTAATTTTTTGTAATAGTATTTTACTTTTTCCAAGATCCCAATAGACAAGAATGAGTAGCTGATAAGTTATTGCAAACGGTTACAAAAGTGCAACAATTTGTTAGATTTTGACATATGCCGAAACTGTTCACAAAAATGGTGATTATGCTACTAATGTATCATGTAACTGATATAAATTGTCAATAAAAGATATAATATAATGAATAAATAAGCATTTTTATCCCACGATTAATGTGTTATCTGTACAATAACAGCTATTGATATTTCTGATATTATTGAATTCCGTGTGATATTTTCCAGAAAATCGTTTATCAAACTCATATGTGTGTGATATCGTTTATCTCACGCATATCCGTGTGATATCACAATTGCATTTCGCGCCACAATATTGTTGGAAATTAGGTCAGATAATTTATTCTCTTTTGAGAAAATAGCTCCGTTAATTTTTTCTATTTAAGTTACAACCGTGTATTGAATTAAGATTGTGTATATAATTTGATTAGAAGGCTGCTTAATAACGATTAAAAATGGTATTTATGACGAACTATACCATGTACAGAAAGTAGTGCATATTACTGCGCAGTGGCCGGTGCAAATTCGTCTGACGAAGAATTGGCGAATCTCTAGTTTATATTGTTTGCCAATGTCCTGGAAATTGGATCAGAACATCACAAGGTGATTGTAATCATGGGATAAACCCAATATCACATAATTTCTCGTGATATCATTTTATTGCCTCGTAGATATCAAATATCAACACTCATTCGCTTCGCTCACTCGTGTTGATATTTGATATCAACTTGGCGATAAAAATGATATCACTCAAAATGATGTGATATTCTGTATTTATGTATATAGGTACTGATACCAATATCTCCATATTATGAACACCCTTGAGTAAAATCCTTTATAATATGTAACAGTGGCGTAGCCAGGAAGGAAAAAGCGACGAGGCAAAAATATTTCATAACTCTGTCACGTTGTCACAACGCAATATGCATATGTACAGCCGGGCATACATCAATTGCAAGGCAACACAAATTTCCATCATAATAATACTTCAACGCAACGCAATTGAGTAATATACTATTTTGTACTGAAATTAAGTCGTCTTTTGAACAATTTATTTATAAAACAACTCGTCGTCAGTCCAGTGGACAATATAGCAAATTTAATTGTCTCTTAAAATTCTAATTTTGAAAGCAATCGGATGGATGGATCGTTACTCATATGACTTATGGCAACCCAACCATTCCCCATTTGTTTAACATGGGATCTGCCATTTTTGTTAAATTTCATGAAATTCATCAATTTTGACATCAAATTTTGACCCAATGTAATGAAGATACAACATTGAAATGTTGCGAACTTTATAGGGAATAGAATCAAGACACAGATTTATTTTCTTTATTGGGATTTCTTTTGTTCCTCGCTTAGAAAATAGTCGTTCAAACAAATATGGCAGTTAACATATAAACCTATGAGGAAAACCACTTGTCCTTAACTTTTTTTGAGGAGTATATTTTGATAAAATCAACGGAACACAAGTTGTTATTTTAATGGTGCGTTTTCAAAAAAGAGATGCTCATTTTAATGGTTTTATATTCGAACATTATTTTTCAAAGGCTTAAAAAAGCAACGAGGCACCTGCCTCATTTGCCTTAACGTAGCTACGCGCTTGCGTAATTTCTAATCAGTGTTCTCCACAGTATTTTTCCTCAAGTGGGTGCAAAATTGTCATTTTGTTTTTATTAAAATCAATGTAAAATATTTACAGGTTTTAGTGGCTATGACCCCCAAGAGGGAGTATTAGGTGCCACATAATGGTATTTACAATGATTTGTGAAATATTATAAGAAGTGTACATGTAATATACAACTAAGGCCTTAAAATCTCAGGTGGGTAATGCTTGGTTTAATGCTGCAGGGAGATCACCTATCAATACATTAAAATTGAATCATAAATCCAGTCATTAATGATATCAACAAAAGACCAATGGTCACACTGTGCTTTCTGCAAGCTATTTTGGTCAATTTTCATCAACATCTTATCAGGCTTTTTTTACTGACTGTTATAATAATATCAGTATTCTTTGTTCAGCTTTGAGATGATAAAGTAAATCATATTATCATGATATTATGATCTTCATATGTTACAATATTTAACAATTAGTTAGTTTAACTTAGAGATAATTTTAAAATTAGGAGGTCCATTTTAGAAATCATAGGAGGCCAAATCAATATATATTAGACTTCTGGTTGCAAATAAATAGTTATATGAAACAGATATTGAATTCAAAGGGAGTTCTAAATTCTAAATATGCTAAGGATTAATCAAAGGGAATTAATGAAAGGTTGAATCTCAAAAACAGAGGTTAGAGCTAAAATCTGGAAAGTATATGATTTTGATAACAAATTAGTCCCCTGTTAGGCCTCCTAGTAATAATAAATGATAATATAGAAAAACTGTACATACCTGAGCATACTACCTCTACTAACGAGTTTTCTTTCACCTGACTTGTGGGATTATTAATAAGCACCAATACATTGGAACTTGAAGCATCATGTACAAACAGCAAGATCTTGTCTTGTAGACCATAAAATCCATGTTCTGGATACTGCAAACAGAGATACAGAGATGATGAGAATATATCCACAGAGCTAATATATTGAGAGAAAATAAAAACAATAATGATGCAAAATACCTGTGATGAAGCACTGCAAGAGATATCATCTATTAACACCAATATAAAAACATGTTGCAGCGGTAAAGTTAACATGATGATGGAGAATGCAATATGTAATAAATAAAGTATTATAAATCTAAAACCTGTTAATATAAACAATATCTTGTTTGTGACGTTCTAAGATTGTAACTGTTGTAACGTTGTAACGTGTGTACATGTGTGTGCAATTATTTGAATATACTCGTTTATCTACCTTTAAAGCAGAAATCTTTCCTTATGATGATATGCTATTTCCCTACCTAACATTGCATTTTCAGAAATGTTCTATCAGTGAAAGATATCACAGTTATCTGGTACTTAGACTATACAGCCCTTTATTCCTAGCATTGCAAACATTGTGAAAAATCCTGTTTCATGGGATTGAGAGATGATCGATGCACTGGAATTGTGTGGAAGTTACAGATACAGTCAATCATGCTACCTTGAATCAGTAATCTGTTCAATCAATGCCATACTGTTAATGACCGGTTGATGAGTTGAAAGGTACAGACTGCCTCAATAAAACTTAATGCTCGGTTGAAAGGTACAGACTGCCTGAATAAAACTTAATGATTAGTTGAAAGATACAGACTGCCTAAATAACATTACCCTTTGCATTCGTTTGACTTCACTTCTTAAAAGAGAGCTTCGTCTTCACTCTTTCAAACTAAAATAAACCTGTGAACTCACCGCGCCAATCAGTGTTCGTCGGCCAAAATTGACCGACGTTTTATATATGGTCATTCCTTCTGACATCATCGCTGAGCCCGGAATTGACCAATGACATGCGCATATTTAATTAGAACGCATTTGGCGTATGTTTCTTCAAGCTCGCTGATTTATTGGAAGAAAGGTCAGCGCGTAGGTCAAAAGTTATTTATAACCCAAACTGTCACCGGTACCCGTCGTGGGGGCGGGGCTACTAAACTGTAATATGGTCTCTACTAGGCAGAGTGTAGTTTAACTAGACTCTGCACGCAGGGTAAAATAACATAGGCCAATTAATACTCCCTATGGACTTATATGAACCAAAGCTATAATGTTAGCTAACCCACTGAGTCAGTAGAGTGAACCTTACTTATTGTCTTATTTCACAGGTGTGAACTTTTACTTTTATCAAGAGCATGAAAAATATGAAGTTAACTACACATATGTTCAATTTTTTTATCTGGTATGATGGAAAAGTGAAAATATTTCTGCATTTAGAAGAACACTTCCTTTCTCTTGTAACAATATTTCCACTTTCAAAAATAATACTTCCTTCTCTTGTGACAATATTTCTGCATTTAGAGAATACTTCCTTCTCTTGTGGCAATATTTCTGCATTTAGAGAATACTTCCTTCTCTTGTGGCAATATTTCTGCATTTAGAAAGAATACTTCCTTCTCTTGTGACAATATTTCCACATTCAGAAAGAATACTGTCTTTCTCTTGTGGCAATATTTCCACATTCAGAAAGAATACTTCCTTTCTCTTGTGGCAATATTTCTGCATTTAGAAAGAATATTGCCTTTCTCTTGTGGCAATATTTCTACATTTAGAAAAATATACTGTCTTTCTCTTGTGACAATATTTCTGCATTTAGAAAGAATACTTTCCTTCTCTTGTGAAAATGCTTTCCTTCTCTTGTGACAATATTTCGGCATTCAGTGAGGATTTATCTTATGAAATTTCAACTCAACAGCGAACTCTGTTGCCATGGTGACACACTTGAATAGAAAATGTTGTAAAAAGCTTCCTAGTTCTTGTTTCCTGGATTCCTGGCTCATTAATAAGGCTTAATGAAAGCTCACGTTTCCTATGCTGATAAAACATTTGTTCAGACAGGCATTACACAGTTGATAAGGCATGGCTTCATGTATATAATGACGATAATGCAATTGGTTAGATTTTATAAAATATTTGTACATATACTATCTGCATTCATTCTGATACCCAACACATCTTTTTGTATCAAGGCAACAAGGCAATTGTTATATAACTCGTATCTCAAGGTTTATCATGATGGTAAGAACTACAACTACATATTATGTAGTAGAAATTATATCACAGCAACTTAAGGAGCATAGCTGGTCATAACTACAGGCCATGAATTTTCACAGTATGTAGAGAATTAACTGTGAAAACCACAATCTACTATGTTATTAGACCAAACCCTGCACATTCACAAGCCTTGGACTATTGGTACAGCCCTTAGAGGCCCCATGTAAAGTTTAAACCACTTTGGCTTATATTGTAGTCTTACCCAATGTTATCAAAGTGTGATATGTGAAACTTTTTTTTTAAATTTCAAAAAGTGGTTTTTGATAGACTTTTTGTTCCAAAATTTGTGAATTTATTTAAAACCAACTTTTAGAGGTCACTCATATCTTCTAATTAGCCACAATTCATACCAATGCATAGCATTCATCCTCCCATGTTTTTTGCCGAAATAATTAAGAAAATCGGTTGATAAACAAGCGAGAAATGAACTTATCAGTGCATGAAAATGGTTCTGAGAAAAATGCATTCCAAAATAATAGTTCTCATAGAAACCAATGGTACAATGATATCTAAAACATAATTTATTCTTCCTTTTAACCTGGTTAGACAATCAACATTGGTTTTTTATGAAAGTCTAGCATATTTAGAAAAGATTGACATCGAAAAAAAAATTTCAATTTTTTTCAAAAAGTTTTTGTTACCCTAGTGACATCACTAATGTTTCAAAATATTTTTGATATGCTAAAACATTGAAGTGGCCCATTAAATATGGCATTTTATTATTGAAACAGTGTGTCCTTTGTTCAATCTTTGCATTGGTGTTTAAAAGATAATCTTTTTTGAAATGCATTAAGAAATATTTGATGATTAAGAAATTTCAACTTTTTTTGAAAAATGGCGGGAAATTTGAATATTTGAGAAATGAAATGCTCACAACTTTTTTTTCAAAAATTTCTTTTTGTTCAAAAATCTCTAAAATCACTTTTTAAGTCCTGACAAATAGTGAATGAATGATAAAAAAATATTTTCAAACTTTAGACGGGGACTTTAAGATTATAAAGCAAGAATGGCTTAATGTAAATCATCACTGGCAACACAATGGGGACAACCTTGGTGATGTAATATAGATCTATATAAAAATAATAATAAGTCATATCAACAATGAATGTAATCTTCATATATCCAAAGTTTCCTTATATCAATTGAGTATGTACATCACTACAAAAGTTGAAATAATTTAAGTTTATTCTATGACAACCATCTGAATGAAGTATTTGATCAGCTACATAATTCATGAAATGGATAAATCCACATAGCATAGATTTATTCAAATTTTGAATGGCTTATGTCAAGGGAATTTCGTCAGTTGCCTCCATATTATGAATGGTATTCTGGTCAGACCAAAATCACCATCTATTTATCAATCCATATATAACAGGTCCTCTTATACAGCCAACTTGGACGAAAGGGAACATGGTTTAAAAAGTAACATTGAATAACATAAAATATCATAGCCTATAGCATATAGAATAGAAACACTTTAGCCATCTTTTTAAATAATTCTGATTTCAGCCCATCTATTTATTAAGTGATTAATGATAGGTGTCTAATATTTCATCGCAGTCATATACCTAATCAATGTACTGATTAATATAGATTGCACATCAGGCAATAAATTAATGCAAATAAAGAAAAGTAATAATAAACTCTTACATGTGCTTTACTGATGAAAACATAGTAATAGACAATTACAGGGTACTTATGAGCATTCTAGAGCTGATTAATGGACAGTATTCTTTAACAACTAGAACTTTTCAGAACCTAATATAGTGTTCCTAAAAGCTATCGCCTCAATTATACTTAAATCCTTAATTATACTGATTACATTGCTTGTAAACAAATGCCACTCATCTTTGACATCAACAATGTGTTCCTCAATTTTGATTTGCAGTAACAATGACTTTGGAAGGTACTTAATGCATGTAGGTGATATACTTGTTGAAGCTGGAATCAATGTTAAGATATGGGGAAATTTGTTGGGAAACTTGGATGAGAGAGTAATGACAATTTTATTAGTGCAAGAATTTAAGAATGTGAAAAGTGCCTCTTTGCTCAGTGTATAGAGATTCTAGATCATTTTTAAAGATACCAGGCTTGAAAAAACATCAACTTGACAATTTTTTGAAAAACAGAGAAAGTGAAAAAGAAAAATTCAATTTTGAAAATTTTATCCTTGGATTGCAGCTGCCCCAAATCATCTCAAAACAAAACAATACGATTAAACTTTGTTTATGAAAAGAATGATGCATCCCCTGAAGAATCAGATGATTGAAGCTCTGGGAAAACTTGTTCTAGTTGATCAAATAATAGCATAAAAGTAGTGTCTTTTTATTTGTGATATAAAATGAACTAGAAAAACAGCAACTCCACGGAGTAGCAAATCCCACCGAACAAAACATATTATGCTTACTATAGCTAGTGTAAATGTTAAAATGTTTGTGCACTTTGTGATAGAAGCATGAAATTTGGCACAAAGTTAGTTTATACTATTGTGAACTAGGCATCATCATATAAAATTTGAACCAAATCCGTTCACTGGTATATGAGTTATCAAAGATTACGTTTTTTACGAAAATTGGCTGCCATCTTGAAAATTATTTCTTGAACAGAGCTACTGTGTCCCTAGGCATAATCATATAAAATTTGAACCAAATCTGTTCACTGGTATTTGAGTTATCAAAGATTACATTTTTACGAAAAATTGCCGCCATTTTGAAATTAAGTGGCCATCTTGAAATATTTTTGTCGAACATAGCTACTGTGTCCCTAAGCATCATCATATAAAATTTGAACCAAATCCGTTCACTGGTATATGAGTTATCAAAGATTATGTTTTTTACGAAAATTGG